CCAGCAATCTATTACAAACTTCATGCTTACTTCATTACATCAAAGGTTCTCAAATTACATTCTGCCAGTTACTGGGTATGATGAAAACACTCCATGGGCCCCAGAATAATCTCCACCTCCACTTCATCCACAGCAGCTTTTTGCCTATTTTATCTTTTAAAAACTACTTTGTACATTGAAGTTCCGTATAAAATTTCAAGTGAAGAAAGGATTACCTATTCCCTTCCACAATTTCTATTTCCAGTTTCTTAGATATTCTGCTAAAGAGAGACTATGCGTATTTGAACAAACATACGCATGCATTCTTTTTAAAAATACCCACAGGATATTATACACATTGTTCTATATCTTCTGCCTATCATTTTATTGTATGCCAGAGATTTAACAGTATTTGGACAAGGTTACTAAAATAAATAATGTTTCTTCATTTCACTATAGTTTTTTATTTGCCAAATTAATGATAATCTACTACTATCTCTAAAGGTAAAGAAAGCATCATATTGTTAAAACATTCTTTTCCAGAAAAAGCATAAGAAGAACATAAAAACCCTACCTTGAATGGCAGATTGAAACTTTCTAAATTTTACAGAAAGTGAAATGGAAACATGTCCCAAGTTTTAGAATTGATTTCAGATTAGAAAGACACTGGCCCAAATCAAAACCCCTTGGGGTATCAACCACTTACTTGGGAGTTCTGCTTCCTACTGTTAGTAAACTTAATTAACCTTTCACATATACTAAATGTCTGCCAGCACCAAGATTACACGTTTAGCACGGCAGGGCTAGAAGCCTCAGAAGTTATACAAATGGGTGGGACATCCCTAAGCCTCTTTGCTGAGAGGATCTCAAGATTCCAAGGACCATTTACTGGGTTATTGCCACCCATGAGTTACCACTGTTCCTTGGCCCTAGACTCTCATTAGGCATCAAGACCTCCCACTGGAACCATTACTATTCTTTTTCGCCTCAACTTTTTCTTTTTGAGTCAAAAACGGTTTCTAGCCTCTTCTGGCAGATTTTATTTTTACAACTTCAGTCAACTTTATGGGTGATGTAAAATTCATTTCCCTGTGCTAGGCTGTATTTGTGCAGACCTTTAGGTTAGGAAACTGAGGTTTAAGTCTTCACTCTTCCATGCATTAACAAACTAAGTATTTCAAAGAGAACAAATCAATTTTTCTGAGTCTCAGTTTCCTGAACTGTAACAAGGATGTTAGATGATACGATGCAAGGCCCCTACAGATGTTTGAATCACAGGGAAAAAAAGCACACATTTTTCTCCAGTGTTCTCCTCTTAGGGAAAAGGAGGTAAACTCCAAGAAAGTATTTAGCTGAAATGAGAAATTTGTTAGAGACTTTTTTTTTTAAAGGGAAGCAAAATATATATGTGCAAAGTACCAAAAAACAAAACTCCAAGTGACTGCCAGTACAAACTCGGGAGTCAGATTCCAGCCCAATTTTCTAGATGATAGTTCTCTACAAAACCTGTCATTTTAAAATATTGCCATAAGGGACTACAGAATCTTAAATCATTGATGAAAATCTAGCCGTTTCCTTTATGCTGTAGATCATAATGAGGGAAAGTACCCTGATACATTTCAGAGAAAAGGATGTTCTTAGCAAGATAATTCAATTAACTGGAACCAGCACTGTGGTAGAGCTTTTAGTGCTAAAGAAGTACTTTCGAGCTATTATTTACTGCAGGCATACACATACTAACCACCATACTAAGTGCTTTTACAAGCATTTTCCCATTTAATTCTTACAACAGTTTCCACAAGAAAATAGGCTTAAGAGAGACTGGCAAGTGATGGAGCAGGATCTCACCTATGCCTGACTACAAAGCCCAGGCTCTCAAATCAGTGACATAAAACCAACTAGAAACAATCTGAGCAACAAATTACTTGACACCTCTATCAACAGTCTATATTTTTGTTCACACACAAACACAAACATAACCATACACACATATAAACTCACACACCCAAAATGTTTTTCTTCAAGTAACATAAGAACAATCAAGCTAACATTTTAGAAAATTCTTAGTCTCAACTAATCTGGAATTTTATTAAAAGCAAAATATATACACAAAGACTTACTAAATAATAAATAACAGTTCTATAACTGTCAAGTAGTTATTCTTCAAAAAAATATAGCTGAAGAGTACTTTTCATAAAATGATTCTTACATTCATTTAAAGCCATGTTAGCTTGCTCCAGAAAGACCGACCAATCGTGCCCTTTGACATGGCAAGATCTCTTACTCCTTTATGCCCCTTTGCACACTCTGTTCTTTCTGCTCAGAATGCTTCCCCACTTGTCCAGCTGGCAACTCACAATTCCTTCAAATCCCTGCAAGTGTATTCTCCTGTGAATCCCCCAAGCAGAGGCAGATGTAAGCACTCCTTCCCCTGCACTGCCACTTCTGAACCTCCATTATGTATGGCTGCTGCAAAAGCAGACTGCAGTTATCTGTTTATACATCTATTTTTTCTCAAGACTGACAGTTGCTCAAGGACAGAAACCATGCATTTTCATCTATACTATTTCCCAATCCCTAATGCGGAATCCAGTACAACATAGTTAGGGTTCATTACTTAATAACTTAGCTAATATAAACTAACAAATAATAAACATTTAAAATCTTTCCAGAGACCATTAATAGGTATTATTCTACTTTAACTCACCTACAGGCTACCCAGTAACTCTAGTTTTGAGAGAAGCAGATTGGGGCTATTTTTTTGAAGATCTCCATTTTACAACTAAATGCAATGTACAAAACACTGTGGTGGGCAATGTGAGGCTTAAAATATTAAGGGCCCCATTTCACTGGGGATCACAAAAGAGTGGAGGGCAGACACATTTTTAATTGTTTCAACTTATTGTTCAGTGAGAATAATAACACAAATAAGTATCCTGGAAACTACAAAGTGGAAGGGCTAATTATTATTAAGAAGACTGGAGGAGGGACTGACAGATAACATTTAAGCGGGACCTTAATGCATGGGTAGAAAAGTACATTCCTGGTCAGGGAAAAACTGCATGAGCAAAAAGGCTCAGAAGTATAAGATAACAAATATATATAGTAACTTCTTACTATTAGAGATATAAGCATTCTGAAAGAAAATGCAATGGGAAGTCTTATCACAAGAATTGTTAAAGCTTCAAAGAAAACAAATTGTATTGTACAATATCCCTTCTGTCTCTTTTCTTAGCTAAAAAGTATTCTTAGGTATATCACCAGTTACTATAAGCCTGTCAGATCAATTCACTCATTGACAAAGGGAAATATCAATCATTAAAAGATATTTTGTATCATACACTAACCACTGAATAGGCTTGATTTTTTTCATTCATTCTAAAAAATATGTTGTAACAATACACATAAATGCATACACAAATATACACAAACAATAACAGCAGCTGCCACTTGGTGCCACATACTCTGAAAGTGGTTTCATATGTATTTGCTCATTTAATCCTCACAATTATCCCATGGAACAGGTATTTTTATTAACTATTTTATAGATAATGAAACAGCCACAGAAAGGTGAATTAAGTTGTCTGAGGTGACAAAGTAAGTGGCAGAGCCAGATTCAGACCTTGTAGTCTGATTCTAGACTCTGGCTCTAAAGCCTGGGCTCTTAACCACTCTCTGTACAAACACAAACTTTTACATTAATTTAAATAATACATTTAATTTTGTGTATGAAGAACCATAAGTTTGTGTATTGTATTAACTGACTTAAAGAATTTTTTAATGTGGTAAAATATGCATAACATAAATATTACCATCTTAACCTTTTGAAGTGCACAGTACAGAGTGTTAAGTCATTCACATTGTTGTGCAACAAATCTCCAGATCTTTCTTTAATGCCTGGAAATTATTCTATTTAGTTGATATAATTGTATTTTCATTCCATTTCTTTTGATTATCGGTTGAATGTGTGCTTTTTCTATTTTTCTGTGAAATGTTCGTTTTGATTTATAATAGAAATTATAATTAAGTTGTTAATTAAGTTTATGAACTTGAAGCACATATTAACATTTGACAATATTTTTTAAACAAATCAATCCTTGATTGTTTTTATTTCATTAGCATACACTTTTCAGAGAATCTGAATTTTTGAATAATGCATAGATATTTTAAGTTAATTTTTATACTTGAAGTCTGCTTAAAGCAGTGTATGGTTTTATGTAGAAAAAAATGAAATATCCATGTCAATTAAAAGTTCTATCAAATTTAAACACTGGGCAAGACTAAACTTCAGTATTTAAGACTGAAGTAGACATGGGCAATAAAATTACAAAAAAAGATACAAGGAAGTGATCACTATGAAAACTGAGACAATTACTTTTGAGGAGAGGGAGGTCATAATTAGATGCATACATGGAGGGGACTGCTGGGGCAGCTGTCAGTTTTATTTTTTGACTTGAATGGTAGTTGTTATGGGTGTTAGACTCAATAATTAAGCCACATATTTCTTTTGTATAGATTTCTCTATCTGTATTTTACCATAAAAAAGTTAAAAGAAAAAAATAATCTAGGCTAAGTCCATTCTTTGCACAGTTTGAAGGTATTAAATTTCTTATAAAGAGATACAAAATTGAAAATCATACTGTTACAAAATCAAGACAAATATTCACAGAAAGATGGAAAGTAGTATTACTCCCAAAGATTTTTAATAATGTTCTAAATATTTTTCAATGATAACACAGGGTAATTTTTACAAATAATCTGGCAAATAATCATGAAAAAGAAGAGGATCAATGAATTGAGAGAAAACATACCTTATTATTAGTGTATGATTTTTATGAGGATCACTAAATGAGGAATTCATGTACAACCTTAAAAGTAAGACTTTTTTATAGCAATTACATTTAATAAACACAAAGTCACAAAGTACAGCTTTTTTAAATGAAAGACAAAATTAAACTATTTACAAACATTATATACAAACATCACAAATAGAGCCTGAGAGTTTGGGGGAAAGTACTAACCAGTTACTGCCAGCAGCTGTGAAACTCTCACCTCCATTTCCTCCCGGTGAGACCTGTCTCTATCTTCAAATTCACGTGTCCTTCTCCGAGCCTCTTCAAAGGCCTGTTGTGCTAATGCATCCTCCTGCTGTCAGAATACATGAAATATTTTCATTTTGATTTATAATAGAAATTTTTAATTTTGGGTGGGTGGGTTTTTTTTTTTGGATGAACAGCAGAGCATTTCTCAAAACATCGTAACCATAAACACATTAATGTTGGAGCTACTTTTAAAAGAAAACTTGGTATTTTCAAGTTTTATATTACATGTTGCAAATAGTAATTGTGTGCAATCATATTCTAACAATTGAAAATGCTCCTCACTTTTCTTCCCTTATCTCATCCTAGTCACCAAAATAAAATCCTGAGCAAGTCAATATTTAAACCATAGAAGTAAAAGAAAAAAATGGGTATATACTTCTGTATTTGGGGATAAGACAGGCCATGCCCTCTAATTACGACATTAAAGGAAGACATCTAAAAGAGAATATTAACAGAACTGATTATATAAACGTGAGAAATTTATAAACAATAAGTAAGATTTCGAGGGATTTTACTAAGAAAAAATATTTGTACATACAACAAATTTATCTTAATCTTTCCCAATAAATAAAGATCTGCACATGAAGGAAATCCAGATACCTTAACTCCTTGTGTCTAAAAGGCAACCAATGCAAACTTTCTCCTTTACACTTTAGTGTCCATTGGTGGCATCATTCATTTTTGCTAGAAACCTGAGCCACCTTTGATTCTTCACTCACCCTCTGTCTCTACAGAGCCAGTCAACCACTAGGTCCTATCTATTTGATCTAAGTATTTTTGAAATCTTTAGGCTCCTTTCATTTCCTACAAACATTTTCCTAGTTCAGGCTCTTAAGACTTCTTACCTAAATTACTGCAAAGGTTTTCTAAACAGTCTCTTCCTGCTTCCATCCTGTCATCCCAATCACCACACAGCCATCAGAACATACCATCTAAAGCACAATCTAACCACAATACTCCCAACTTAAAGCTCCCTCACTATTTATAGCACCGGATGCTTACCCTTTGCAGTCACACACTTCTGAATATTAGGACTTTCGATGGTACACTTAAAGAAACTAAAAGATCAAAAATACCAAAAAAGTCATCAATATTCACCCTCCTAGCTTCCTTGTAACTAGAGGTGGCTATGTAAATCAGTTCTAATCAATGAGGCAGAAGCATAAGTCACCTAATGGGGCTTCATAAAAGTCATTTACAAGACATTTCATCTTTTCTCCTTTCTGGTAACTGATGCAATGCCCAGAGATACAGCAGCCATCTTGCAAACATAATAATGAGGATGTAGTCACATGCTGAACGTAGTACAGCTGAAGATGAAAAGACCCAGGGCCCCCGTGATATAATTTAGGGCTATACCATACGACACTGTGTACGACTGGATATCTTGTTCTGTATGATACATCTTTCGGCATTTAGTAGGGCTGTTTAATGTAATTTTCACTGACAGTGTCTATAACTTAAAATTGAAAGGTATGATCAAATTTCCATTTTTAAGATACATTTACTAGCTTTATGACACAGCAAGGTATTTCATTTCTCTAAACCTGATGACACAGCAAGGTATTTCATTTCTCTAAACCTGAGTAAACTCACATATAAAATGGTTATAGTAGTAATACTTCACAATTGTTGTGAGAATTAAATAACAAAATACTAAAACGTATTAACTGACAGCATTCAATAAGTGTTAGCTACTATTTTTCAAGCATTAACATATATAAAATTTGCACACTTGACTAAACATCATTACACACACCTACTGTATTCTCAGAATGTACTGTAAGCCAAAGGTACCCACAAAAGAATGTTGTTCCCAATGCTTTCTATTAGGTACCAACTGGGACACATTTGCTGATAACAGGATACTGTCCTGCATTCAGTCATTCCACAAATATTTAGTGAGTATTATGTCCAAGTCACTGCTAGGTGCCATGGATACAATGTGAATGAAGTGGGGCTTCTCCTCAGTTCCCGGTCTAGTGGGGTAGGTAGATAATGAACAAATAATTACAAAAATTACTAGAAATATCAACTGTAATTAAATACAGTAGAGGAAAATTATACAATGAAATAAGAGCATATAAAATGTGGTCTAATTCCCTAAGAAAGTTATCAGCCACTAATGTGTATTTTAGCAATGATTTTTATTTCATTAAAAGAAAAAAAGTATTGTTACTAATAGTTGTGGTAGAATAAGCTAAGATATTTAGTAGCCCTCAACTTTCTAATTTCAGCTTCTGTCTTGGTCTTTTCTAGTGAAATGTGAAATGTATGTGCAATGAACAGAGTATGCACTTTAATAAATGGTTAAACCTTAAAAACAGGTGATTACATGTAACCCTGATGCTCTTCTGCTGCCACCTTAATTAACACCTCCATTCCAAGGATTAAGGGCACTTGCTGACAAAAACTACATGCTCATCCAATAAAATATGCTCAAATGGCTAGGGACAACTTTCTCTATACAGTCTCAGCTGGTAGTGGGGTAGGCTTTCAACATTCTGGTCCTTGCCAGCTACTTACAGTCTGCTCCTCCATAGTCTATACCACAATCTGCACAAAGTAATCAGTGGGGCCACCATAAAAGGTGAATGGGTGTATGTGAAATCCATGTGGCATGAAAAGGCCTAGCAGTCCTGTCACAGAGCATATATAGAATATTCTGACCATGCTTGCTGCAGTTTTCGTCTTTATTGTATTGTCTACATCTGTAACTATATTTATTTTTTTAGTGAGGTAATACTGACCTTTCTGTAACAATTAAAAAATATAAGTGCATGTTTTAATGAAAAATTAAGAATCGAATTTATTTTCAAGCAAGTTGATGATGAATGTCATTTGCACAAAATAGTGACATTTACTATTTTCTCTAGGGACCAGAATGGTATCACTGATCACAGGAAAATCAAAATAAATAAATCTGCTGAAGCATCAACGTATACTTCAAAGGGGACAATTTAACTAACATGTGCAGCTGCAAATGGTATATTTACATCACTCTGTAGAATATAACTTCATTTAAATCAAATGACTCATCTTCATTTTCACTCACATTCTCGTGCACATAAATAGCAAAGTTGTTTATATATTGGCTTCATTAACAGAAAAACCTTGCAAACAGCTAAAGGATACCAGTTTTATACCACTGTCATCAAGTATTTCAAATAGAAAATCTGTTAATTCCAATAACGGTTCAATTTTTCTAACCTGATCACAGAATCAGAATACAAGGCCATTACATGGAAGTTGTAACTTTTTGTGACTACCAAAGTAAATTAAGAAATATAACAATGAAGATAAAATTGCTGGCTCTTAATTTGGTAATAAAAATATAAATGATGGTAGAGCACACATTGCAAAAAAGTGATTCTCAGTGTATTTTTAAAAACTACATAACAGAAACTCACTAGGAACCAGTAGTGGTACACACATAATTTATAATTGTAGCCAAAGAAGTTAGACATCATCTCCACCCATTTGGAAGTTACAGTTGCATAAAGTACAAATATATTTATGCATCCACAGTTAAAGTAACTTGACCTATAAAATTTTTGTGACAAAGCTGATGCTGAACACAAAAAAGTTAATAACGACAGCATGCACACACTTGGGGTATTAGAAAATTAGAGCCTCTGAAGAACTACTCTGAAATCAACCTAGTTCCTACAATACCACTGACCCATTTTGGTAAATGAGTTTTTGTAGTTATAATTTATTCAAAATTGGTTGGAAATCTCTGATTATTCAATGGTGAAGTGCCAAAAATTTATGTTTTTCAAGCTTTTAGAGAATTGTAACTACTGACCAAAACCAAACACATAAGGAAGACATTGAAATTTATCCCTACAAATTACAGAAAATAAAAGATGAAAATACAATCAGCAAATAAGATTTAATTTTGAGTTTCCCTAATTACACTCAGATTTGCCTTCACTTGTGGGAAGTTATAAAACTTTTATAATATACTTTTATTGAAGCATATTACACATACAAAAAATTACATGTATTTTAAGGCTGTGCTGTCCAATATGGTAGCCACATGTGTCTACCGCACACTTGAAATGTGGCTAGTCTGAGTCTGTAAGTGGAAAATACACACTGGATTTCAAACAGATACAAAAAAAAGTGTAAAATATCTCAATAAATTTTTATATTGACTTTATGTTCAAATGGTATTTTGGATATACTGGGCTAAATAATATATAAAATAAAATAAATTATTTCTTTTTACCTTTCTACATACATGGCTTCTAGATAAATTTAAATTACATTATGTGGCTTGCATTTGAATTTTACTGGACAGCACTGTCCCAAAATACAGCTTGATAAATTTTCACAAACTGAACCTTCCATGTAACTAGAATCCATATAAAGAAAAAGAACAGTATCAGCATCTCAGAAGTCTCCTTCTGCTCTATTCCAAGAACTAGTTTTCTCTCCCAAGGATAGACCACAATCCTTACTTCTAACAGCATGTATTATTAGTTAAGCCCATTTTTGTACTTTTATATATATGGATTCTTATAGCATGTGCTTTGCTATACACTCAATATATTTGTGAAATTCACTCTTTTTGGTGTGCCTGTTGTAGTTTTTCATTCTCATTTTACTTCTTTATGTAAACAAGCAATCTGTCCTCTACTGTTAATGGGCAGTTGCAGTTTCTGGCTATTACTAATAATTGCTGCTATAAATGTCCTAGTACCTATCTTTTGATGAATACATGTATTCATTTTCATTGCATATCATGCCGTAGAGTAAAACTGCTGCATCATAGATAATATGTGCAGTTTCAGTATTTATTGCCAGTTTTCCAAATGTGTCAACTTTACAGAACCAACCAACAACATACCACCTGTTGCTCTATATCCTTGCCAGTGTTTGTCAAAGGTACTCTGAACAAACACAAAAAGACAACACCTGTGAAAATATTTTAACTGAAATACACATTTTAATTTTTCAAATGTAATGGTGACCGTCCTCTATCTCTTAGCTTACCAGGTACATCAGCATCTGTCAGAGAATTTTGTCCTCACATGACAGAGAAAGAATGAGCAGGCTCTCCTGTGTATCTCTTCTTACCAAGACACTAATCTCATTTATCCTATTAAATCAGGGTCCAACTTTATGACCTCATTTAACCTTAATTATCTCCATACTGAACCTGTCGTTAAGTACAGCCACACTGGGGGTTGGGGCTTCAACATATGGATTTTAGGGCAACACAAACATTCAGTCCATAAAAGGTGAGGCCAGGATTCACATTATATGAGTATGAAGTCCCCATTCCTAATTTCTACATTTCATTGCCTCTTTACTTTTGTTTTTTTGCAGCTACAAAGAAGTGCTCACTACTGACTGAATAGTGGGGTCCCTGCTTGGAAATTTTTACCTTATGTAAGACCTATTATTATATTAGTTTACTGTCAGAACAGATGGTATTTACTTTGTAGTGATAAAGTTTACTTTGTTGACTAGGGCAACAAGGCTTAGAGAATTCAAAGTATGGAAAATGCTGTGGGTTAAACTTAAAATTTTTACTTACATTTTTAACAAAATATTTCAGTTTTAGAAATCAACTCAATCTGAAATTTTCCTTTGCATAAATTCAATCTGCTCTATCACCTCTCAAGGAAACAGCCTTCTAAACTGCCCATTATTTACTATTTTTCTGGAAGAGTTGGGGACTTTCTTATCCTTGTGGAAATCAAGGTAGCAGAGATTCTTTTTTAAGAATTTTAACTTTGAATCTTAATTATTTACTAGGAAGGTTTTTTGATCCCTTGATAAATCGCATTTCCACATCTGGAGAACACACACAGGAAGAAACAAGAGAAAGAAAACAAAAAGAGAGCTCCTTTTTATTCTTGTCATTATTTCAACTTTATTGAGAGGATTAATATAAAAAATTTCAAAAATTAACACCCACTAATAATCAGATACTTTGACAAGTTCTTTGAGCATTCTGAATATACCATTCCACTACCTTTTCTGGGCTCCATAATTTTAAAAGACACGTCTGATGTTCACCTTATTGTGGCTCCTTGGTATATGATGAGTCATTTTTCTTGCTGCTTTTGAGATTCTTTTTGTTTTTCATCAGCCTGACCATGACGTATCTAGGTATGGATTTCTTTGTACTTATCCCTTTTTGGAGTTCACTGAACTTCTTGCATATAGAAATGAATATTTTTCATAAAATTTATAAGTTTTCAATCATTATTTCCTAAAATATATTTTCTGTCCCTTTCTCTCCTCTCCTGGAACTTTCATTACACATATGTTGGTAGGTGTGCTGGTGTCCCAGTCTCTGAGACTGTTCACTTTTCTTTGTTCTTTTTTCTTTCTATTCTTCAGTCCAGATAACCTCTATCAATCTGTGCTCAAATTCACTACTTCTTTCTTCTCCTAGTTCAAATCTGCTGTTGTAAGTTTTTCACTTCAATTACTGTACTTTTCAAATCTAGAATTCCTATTTGATTCTTTTTAATAATTTAGATCTCTTTATTGATATTCTCTATTTGATGAGTCATTGTCATCATACCTTTCCTTTAACTCTTTAAAGAATTTTCCTTTAGTTTTTCAAATATGCTGATAAATAACTTTTAAATCTTTGTCATTAAGAAGCAACATTTGAGTTTCCTCAAAGACAATTCCTATTGCCTGCCTTTTTTCCTGAGTATCAGTAACAGTTATATGTTTATTTGCATGTCCTATAATTTTTTGTTGAAAACTGGACATTTTAGATAATACATTGTAGCAACTGTGAATTCTGATCCCTGCCTTTACCTCATTTTTGTTTGTCTGTTTAGTGACTTGGCTGGACCAATTCTGTAGTGTATGTTTCCCTAGCAGTGTGCAGACTCTGATGTCACTACTTTTTTTTTTCTTTTTAATCCTTGTTTGCAAGGGGGTTGCCCTTGAGACAGCAAAACTTAGTGGTCAGTACCATTTAACCCAGGAATTCCACTTCTAGGAATTTACCCTAAGAATGCAGCACTCCAGTCTGAAAAAGACAGATGCACCCCTATGTTTATCGCTGCACTGTTTACAGTAGCCAAGATATGGAAGCAACCTAAATGTCCATCAGTAGATGAATGGATAAAGAAGATGTGGTACATATACACAATGGAATATTACGCAGTCATAAGAAAAAAACAGATCCTACCATTTGCAACAACTTGGATGGAGCGAGAGGGTATTATGTTCAGTGAAATAAGCCAAGCGGAGAAGGACAAGTACCAAATGACTCCACTCATATGTGGAGTATAAGAACAAAGGAAAGCTGAAGGAACAAAACAGCAGCAGAATCACAGAACCCAAGAACGGACTAATAGTTACCAAAGGGAAAGGGACTGGGGACGATGGGTGGGAAGGGAGGGATAAGGGCGGGGAAAAAGAAAGAGGGCATTATGATTAGCATGTATAGTGTGTGGGGGGCACAGGGAGGGCTGCGCAACAGAGAAGACAAGTAGTGATTTTACCGCATCTTACTACGCAGATGGACAGTGACTGTGAAGGGATATGTGGGGGAGACTTGGTGAAGGGGGGAACCTAGTAAACATAATGTTCTTTCTGTTATTGTAGATTAATACCAAAATAAAAGGAAAAAAATGTAAAAACAAACAAACAAACAAAACTTAGTGGTCAGCCAACAACGGGTCAGAGGATTTGCTTAAATACCTCAAGTCCCAAGGCTTCTGTCCTTCACCATTAGATCTGTGTGGCTTAGGAGAATACTTTCATAGTTTATTAGTCTATCCTACATTTAGCCAAGGGCTAACAGCTTGCAAATGCCTCTTTGTTCTCTGCCAAACAGGTGTAGCCTTGCATATGCACACAGCCTTCTAGACCATGAGGGATAAGTGTAAGTGTATCTTAGTAGATCCCACTTCAGTTATCTTTCTCTGTATCTCCTTGATAAATTTCTGGCTAGTCTGCCATTTTGTAGCTTCCTTCAACATTAGTTTTCCCAGATTGTTTACCACAGAGACCTCTATTATTTTCAGTAGCATCCCTGGGCATGGATTTATCCAATTACTGCTCTAAATAAAGTTAGCTCCCTCTGACAGGACAGGAGAGCTGCTGCTCCTCATGGTTTGCCCTGTCTGCCCTGGGTAGAAACTGAAGGACCACAGAGCTGAGGGAAGGGTTGGGAGCAGCTCCTGACTAAAATGCCACAGATTATCACTGATGTTACTGAAATTCAATAGCTTTGGTTGAATAAATGCTTATCAATTTACACCATTTCATTAATTTCCAGGGACTTTAAATGGGTTTTTGTTTTATTTTCAGTTTTGTCCAGTTTAATCATTGCTTTTTGGGGAAAGGATCTGCCAAGCTCTTCTTCACTCAGCCAATCCAGAAGTGCTGCTCCTATATTTTATTTTGAACTATTTTGTTCCTTTCATAATATTCTAAAAATGAACAAATATTGAAAAACTGAACCACTGATTGGACTTTGAAGTGCCCCACTGAGCAGACAAGGGTAATCCAATGAAATTTAGAACTATTAAAGGAAAAATTTTCCCAAAACCAGGAATAGAATTTGGGTCTTACATTTTCAAGATCTCTCAATATTACTTGAACATGAGACTGTACTTACTCTTAAAGACAGGATAAAATAGATCCATAAACAAAGGTAAGATTAGGGGTGAATAAAGGGACCAGGCTCAGTAGAGCCTGAGATCGCCCTACCTGAGCTCGCTCCTCATCAAACTCCAGGCAGCCCATACCATCCAGTCTCTGGAGATCAATCCAGCCTTTCCAGATAACACAGACTCCATTCAGAATCATGGGAGCCTTCAAATACACCTAAGATACAAAAAAGTAGGATGAAAAGCAATAATAAACCATCAGATATATAAAAAACAAAGGATAAAGTTACTTATGAAAACTGGTTTTCTTAGGGGGAAAAAGATGAATTATAAAATTAAGAATTAAAGGAAGGTATATAAACCATAGCCTCTGATTATATTCTATACATTAAATTAATCTGTCTTACCAGGATTTTATTTCTAGTCACAATTCTCCCAGATTATTTTTAAAAGGGAGTTTTACAGATTTTTAAAAAACTGTTTGTACTAAGGTGACACTTGAAGTTGACATCACTGCTCTTCCTGTTGAAGCTGGAGGACAGTGGTGTACTTCTGAATCTTGGATAAAAAGACACAAAGATTGAAAACAACTGGAATTCACTAGCACCTGAAGAGAACATGGACTGTGTCCCTCTATGTAGATCCCTGGAGCCACCCAAATTCCAGCTCTTCATACTTCCTCTCAGTTGTATATGCTCCTTCATAACCTCCTGGTAAATAATGCTTTTTTCTTTTTCCTTTTTTGCGTTAGTTAGCCAGGGTTGATCTCTACTGCTTTTAACAAATGAACCTTAGCTGATACAAGATTTATTCACCATTCTTTTTCAAGTAGATAAATAATCCCAGAGCCAAAGTCACTTAAGTATGATTTCCAAATTCAGTTCACTTTCATTTTTGATCACCAAATTAATTCTCATATTGCCTGAAAATACAACTGGTCTCAAAAGCCATTATGGATCCATCAAGAAATAAAAGGTGCTAATGCTACGATCTTGAGGTGAATATTTTATTGTGATACAGTGGATATACACAAAAAATTTATTATAGTTCCTAAAATCTCCCTCATCCTAACACAATACTATTCTAATAGGTATAAGAAAAGCATTGTTATTTTAGGACTTCACTACCTCATTTAACATGGGCTTCTTAATAAAAATCAACATAAACTTTTATCATTTACTGCCTAACAAGAGCTTTCAAATGCAGAGGAAGCAGGACTTAAATGAGTTTTCAGAACACCAGGTTATGAAATGTATCTTTCCATATAAGGTTCTTCATTTGCCTTTACCAAAAAATAGTACTGGATAATCGCAGTGCTTTTATGAACTAGTTGGCATTATTTATTACTTATAATTATGTAAGTTTGTAAGATAGTTTCTCATTTTCAAGAAAAAGCTGGAAACACCTTTTGCTTTACTCGGTTTAGCAGTTTCTTCATCAAAGAATCCTGGGGCATTCTTGTGTTTAGAGAGGTTTTACTAGAATTGGCTGTCAAAAATTACAAATATGCTGGAAAAATTGCTGAGACACCTATAAATAAAAACTACAGGATTTATGCCTGTTTAGTACATATTTTTGTCATTCCTCTCTGCTACTAAATACAATCATTTTTCTTGCTAAGGGCTCCACTAACCAATGCTGAACCAATTTCTACTTACAAAAAAAAAAAAAAAGCCAAAAACATAAGGTTCCAATTCTCCTCCCATTTGGACCAAGGGAAATAGTCTACAGTTATAGCTGAAACCGTTTAACCACACATTTCCTTCTGTTCTGATAAGTGTTCATTCCCTTCCACACTGTGAATTTAAAACTCCACTGATGTGCACCTAGTCAAACAGGTGACCATGATGACCTCCTATTTGACACCTCACAAAACCTAAAAACAGTACCCCTCTACACTGTCTGTTAACAGTGTAGTAACTTGGCTTACCAAATTTTCTAATCAAGATTCCCACCTCCTCTTTCTATCTAGGAGGGGGTGCCACACAGTGAGGAGTATAACATTTCACCTATCAGCATACCTTATTATTTTAAATTATCATATTAATCATGAAGAGAATTCTTCTCATCTAACAGCAGAGAAAGGCCAACTTCATGATCAGATTCTATATTCTTCATCAATGATTTGTATCTTAGAATCAAAGACTACATAATCTAGCGTACTCATTAACTTCTGATAAGTAATGCTGCTTATTATTAAAATTGATACTAACTTCCACAGTCAAAAATATTTTCCTTATCAAAATACCAACAACATTCTTCAACAAACTGGAACAAATAGTTTTAAAATTCATATGGAACCACAAAAGACCCCGAATAGCCAAAGCAATCCTGAGAAGGAAGAATAAAGCAGGCATCTTGCTTCCCAACTTCAAGCTCTAATACAAAGCCACAGTAATCAAGACAATTTGGTACTGGCACAAAAACAGAGCCACAGACCTGTGGAACAGAACAGAGAGTCCAGATATAAACCCAAACATACATGGTCAATTAATATGTGATAAAGGAGCCATGGACATACAATGGGGAAATGACAGCCTCTTCAACAGCTGGTGTTGGCAAGACTGGACAGCTACATGTAAGAGAATGAAACTGGATCACTGTTAACCCCATACACAAAAGTAAATTTGAAATGGATCAAAGATCTGAATGTAAGTCATGAAAACATAAAACTCTTAGAAAAAAACATAGGCAAAAATCTCTTGGACATAAACATGAGCGACTTCTTCATGAACAAATCTCTCCAGGCAAGGGAAACAAAAGCAAAAATGAACAAGTGGGACTATATCAAGCTGAAAAGCTTCTGTACAGCAAAGGACACCACCAAAAGAACAAAAAGGCATCCCACAGTATGGGAGAATATATTCATAAATGAACAGATCCGATAAAGGGTTGACATCCAAAATATATAAAGAGCTCTTGCACATCAGCAAACAAAAAGCAAATAATCCAATTAAAAAATGGGCAGAGGAGCTGAACAGACAGTTCTCCAAAGAAGAAATTCAGATGGCCAACAGGCACATGAAAAGATGCTCCACATCACTAGTCATCAGAGAACTGCAAATTAAAATCACAATGAGATATCATGTCACACCAGTAAGGATAGCCACCATCCAAAAGACAACCAACAGCAAATGTTGGTGAGGATGTGGAGAAAGGGGAACCCTCCCCTACACTGCTGGTGGGAATGTAAACTAGTTCAACCATTGTGGAAAGCAGTATGGAGGTTCCTCAAAAAGCTCAAAATAGAAATACCATTTGACCCAGGAATTCCACTTCTAAGAATTTACCCTAAGAATGCAGCAGCCCAGTTTGAAAAAGACATGCACCCCTATGTTTATCGCAGCACTGTTTACAATAGCCAAGAAATGGAAGCAACCTAAGTGTCCATCAGTAGATGAATGGATAAAGACGTGGTACATAGACACAATGGAATGTTCTTCAGCCATAAGAAGAAAACAAATCCTACCATTTGCAACAACATGGATGGAACTAGAGGGTATTATGCTCAGTGAAATAAGCCAGGTGGAGAAAGACAAGTACCAAATGATTTCACTCATATGTGGAGTATAAGAACAAAGAAAAAACTGAAGGAACAAAACAGCAGCAGACTCACAGAACCCAAGAATGGACTAACAGTTAACAAAAGGAAAGGGACTGGGGAGAATGGGTGGAAAGGGAGGTAGGTATAAGGGGGTGGGGGTGAAGAAAGGGGGCATTGCAATTAGCATGTATAATGTTGGGGGGGCATGGGGAGGGCTGTGCAACACAGAGAAGACAAGTAGTGATTCTACAGCATCTTATTGCGCTGATGGACAGTGACTGTAATGGAGTTTGTGGGGGGGGGCCTTGGTTATGGGGGGAGTCTAGTAAACATAATGTTCCTCATGTAATTGTAGATTAATGATACCAAAAATATATATATATTTTCCTTATGAATTTACTAAAATTTTTAAAAGCTCATTTATTATTTCTTTATGAAAGTTCTCTCATGACAAGCACAATTAAATATGTTATACAAAATGGATTCTATAAAAGCTTTAAGATGGGTAAACAGATTCATGTAATCACATTAAATATGTTATACAAAATGGATTCTATAAAAGCTTCAAGATGGGTACACAGATTCATGTAATCAAACAAGAAAATAGCCTTATCTTAAAGATGTTGTACATATACACAATGGAATATTATTCAGCTGCAAAAAGAAAAGAAATCCTGCCATTTGCAACAACATGGATGGATCTAGAGGGCATTATGCTTAGTGAAATATCAGGCAGAGAAAGACAAATACCAAATGATTTCACTCATTTGTGGAGTATAAAAACAAAGCAAAACAGAAGGAACAAAAAAAGCAGTAGACTCATAAACACCAAGAAGGGACTGTGGTTACAAAAGGGGAAGGGTTAGGGAGGGTGGCTAGGGAGGGAGAAGGGATTTAAGAGGCACTATACTTCCCAATCACAACATAGATGGGTAACTGGGACGGTAGTACAGCATGGAGAATACAATTAATGAATCTATAACATCTTACCATGTAGATAGACAGTGACTGCAATGGAGGAGGTGAGGGCTTGATAATATGGGTGAATGTTGAACTGCTGTTTTGTGTATGTGAAACCATCATAAGATTGTTTATCAATGATACTTTAATACTAATAAAAATGCTGCTTTGGTTGAATGCAAAAAAAAAAAGGCCTATCTTTCCAAAAGAAAGATATTAGAGAATGTGTTTGAGACTTCATAAAGCGACTGAAGCCTCACATTTTGTCTTCTTTTGGAAATAAGGTAAAAGTTAGTATTACTTAAGTTTTAATCAACTCAAGTTCTACACATCAGTATTTGTGATGTTTATTAAAACCAAATTATATATCACTGTATTTTCATTCTCTAGCTAATAGCAGAGCCTCAGCAAAAAACACATGCCATTAACTGTAGCACTATCCATCGAATGGAATATTATTTGGCCATATAAAGGGATAAAGTATTGACAGATGCTAAACATGGATGAATCTTGAAACATTACACTAAGTGAAAGAAACCTGAAAAGAGGCCACATTTATATGACTCCATTTACATGAAATATCCAGGATAGGCAAATACAGAGAAAAAGAATGGAGATCAGTGGTTGCCAGGGGCTGAGGGGAGAGGGACTAAGGAATGACTGCTAATAGGTACAGGATTTCTTTTGGGGGTGATTAAAATGTTTTGGAATTA